TACTCCACTGTATCTTTATATAGCATATAGTTGTTTGCTGCTATATTTATGTTCTGAATCGAATTTAGCACCTTTAAGAAATGCAAAACAACATGGTAGAAACATTTTAATATTGGCGCAACTATTTTGACGTTCGGAAAGACTAGTCTCACACACGCACACAAACACTAAGGATGGGCAGATGGATAGACAAGTGTAATTATAGCCACTGAGGAGCAAGGTGCACAGAAGCTAAGGATCCTGGGAAAGAGGAAATAGGGTTAACTTAGAACAGGGGATGCAAGAAGGGAAGGAGTGGCTGCTGGCCGCAGACACAGCTGGTTCCTGACAGAGGAAGCCCAGATGGAGGCCCAGGTCCTGTTGTCTGCTCCTGTCTGCTGCTATCACTGCAGTCAGTTCTGCTGCCTGGCCTCCCCAGAGGCTGCAGCACTGCAACATGCAGAAACACACACACAAACTGTAACATACTGATACACAGTTCTTCTTTGAGCTGCAGTGGCAGACAGGGCAGGAGGAGGGCTCAGATGAGAACACAGCCCCTAAGCCAGAGCCACGAGACAAGCTGACCTGCCACTGACATACCCACACACTCTCACACACACTCTGCTGGAAGGGAACGAAGAGAGACCGAGAACGAACCAGATAAACGGAAAACAAAAAAAGAAAGGTAGATGTACACACAAGATGTGCCAAGTACATCTACATTGGAGAGCAAAAGATAATTGGAGCTGAGGACAAAGACTGTTACTTAGTTGTATTAACATACAACTATCCTGCATTTTTCAAACACAAAGTTGTGTGAAGCCTTGAAGCAAAGAAAAATGACCAGAGGAATCCAGGAATAATACAACAAGGATTACAGTCTTTAATTAAGACGTGAAAGGAGGAAGAGGAAGTAACCACTGGCTGTTTCTTGTTTTTCTCTGTTTGGAGCTTTAACAACAGCTACGTCCTTGTCCTTGCGTGGCAGTGGGTCATACAATGATCTACAGGGACCTCAAAGGCAAACTGGCTGGATGTCATGAGGAACAAAATGCCCAGCCTCAAGGACATATGGAGAAGAAGGTCAAGCAGGAAAGCCTTGTAGCATTTTGGACCTCATAGAACCTTTGTGCCTTCATTGTCTTTGCTACACTGCTTGGATATTGTGCTTTACACGAACAGTGTGCCACCTAACCTTGTGGCCCCTCACCTCGCAAAGAAATTGGAAAGTTGAGATCTTAGCCGTGGCGAATTTGAAGATCCGAACATGTCTGCCAAAGTCCAGTTGAAGCGCCAGAAGAAGGCCGACCTGAGAGCTGGGGCTTCCTCTGCTCCAGCGTTTGCTCCACGTGTCCCCACGGTCACACTGATCAGCCACAGAGAGCTAAGGGATAAACACACTGCCAACAGACTACGGCCTGGAAGCCTTGATCTAAACCTGGCAACCAGCAGCTACTACAGATGCAGCGAAGGTAGGAGCTTGTTATCTTAAAGGACCTGTTTTATAAAATCTTTTGGCAGTGTGTTACCATGATGACTGATGGAGGGTCCCCCAGCTGTCAGGTCTGCTCATTAAGTTGGAGTGATTGACGGATAATCAGTTTGTGTTGACTTAGCGCCGCATGCTGTAAGGGCAATGTGAGGTTTCTTCATCTTGCTAGTAGACCTGTTATTTGATGATTGAAACTGAGGTTTCAAGGTTAGAATGACATCAAATATTACCATCTAAATTAGTTTTCTCCTCCTAAGCGATTATGTGTAAAATGATCTGAGCTTTGTTTCTCAGTGTATTCACTGTATTTCAGCTATTTATTTAAAACAAACATGAATCATGACTCGGGATTAAATTGGCCACCACGAGCAATTTTTCTCAACAGCATCCTCTTATTGTCACATATTGTGTTCTTCACATGAGCTGTCAAGCATAAATGAACTTGTCATTATTGTTAACCAGCCCAGTGGCACTGGAGAGGCAAAGAGGTTCTTGGAGCATTGGGTGGGGGGTCTTCCTCTGGGCATCCCCATACAGCTGCAGGGAACAGACCTAGATTCTTGAGTTTCACTGTTCAAACTAGACACATGCAGGTCATGAGGGTGCATCGGAGGGAATGAATAACAGAGAGAGAATTTACAGATGAGCGATACTTGAAATGCATCCAGGAAAGAAGGAAAGAGAAGAAACTTAATTGATTCTCAAAGCACTGAAAACACTGAAGTAGTGCCTTTAGGTAAAAAAGAAAAACCTTCACTTTATTCAGCAAAAGGTTCGAGAAAAGAGAGATGCATTAAGAATCAGACATTAAAGGCCTGATTTTATAGACTATAAATATGTAGAAACTGTAAGCCGGAGCAAGGACTAATACCCAACGTAGTGAATTACCTGCAGCGCCTGCCGTCTCTTGGCAGTAATGAGCTTTGTGAACGTTGTAGCGATAAGACCTCTATAATTAGGCTTAGTCATAAGCATCCCCCCTGTAATTCTGTGATAAAAACCCAGTAGAACTGTGGTGTCAGTGCTCCAACCCATTCGTCTCTCTCTCTCTCACACACACACACACCCACACACACACACACACACACAAATGCATACACTGAGGAAATCAAAATGTGTCAATGTGAACTGTAGACACAGCTTTTTGTCTCAAGTAGTTAACCTGATATAACCGTATGTGTGTG